TGTTTCCCAGAGTATTCTGGAGAGGTTGGCTGCTCATGGCTTGGACAGAAGCATGGTTTGCTGGGTGAAGATGTGGCTGGATGACCAGGCTCCAAGGGTCACAGTGACTGGAGCTCATTCCACTTGGTGCCTGCTCACCGGTTGCATTCCCAGGGCTCAGTGTTGGGGCCAGTTTTGTTTCATGTTTTTGTCTGTGATCTGGATGAGGGGATTGAATGTACCCTCAGTACGTTCACAGATTACACTGAGTTAGGCAGAATTGTAATACTGCTTCATGCTAGGAAAGCTCTGTGGAGAGATCTGGACAGGCTGAATCAATGAGCTGAGTCTAATCTCATGCCATCAGCAAGACTCAGTGTACACAGAGACAAGTTAACATTCATCAGCTTAATAGACATTACTGGGGACAGCTGGACAGTCTGTCTTCACCAAGTTATCATTACCAGCTGTGGCTAACCGATATAGTGTCCACCCTGGGATTACCCCCAGCAGACACTGGTGGCAGCAGGCTTGCAAGGTGTCTGCTAGTCATCGTTATTACCATGGCCATATATATATTAACATCTGGAGACAATAAAGCATCACATATCAGGATAGTCAAGGCCATTTACAGGAAGCAAGGAGACTTAGTTAAAGCTACGGAGCAGATTCTCACAAACAAGTTTCTTCTGCATACAGAAGCTAGAGGCAGTTTACTTGTATTCTCAAGCTAACATTAGCTCTTCCTCATGGGCTATTTGCCTGATCAGGCTGTGATCTGCTTCTTTTCTCCACAAAGGCTCTAAAGGACATGGTTTACGCATAGGACTTGGTAAGTCAAGCTGAAACTTGGACTTGATCTTGAAGGTCTTTTCCAACATCGATGATTCCGTGATTCTAAGAATCTGTTGTTTATAGTGGAAGCAGTATCTTTTGCAGCACAGCTATGCCTTCCTAATCAGAAAGGCCTGTCAGAGGCCGAAAAAATTTGCAGTGTATTGGGACGACTGATAAGACCCTCTATATGTGGAATCAGAAGAACAAAGTTGCTGTCCTGTATAGGAGTATTGCAGGCCACTTTACCTGTATTTTTGGTGTTTCGTCTTCAAGAAAATATAGCTGGATTCCAATAAACATTCACAACTGCTGAAGATCATCATGTTTCCTCTTTGTCCCTAGAAGGACAAACGTTTGCCATCTTGAATATTAGACTTAGATGATCAAATATCAGGAAATTATAGTTTACAAAAAATTTCGTAGAAAATTTTCGTAGAAAAAAGAAGATATGTTGAAATGAAATCCTTTTTGAATGTCTGCATTTTCATCACCTACCATCTTCAATTATTATTTGCAAAATATTTTAATTGTGACTTTTTTAATGAGGTCTGAGCAGGCTGAGATCTCTTGTCTTGAAATCAAGAACTGTGAACAACTCTCTAAGGATTTGTAGGGCAAGACCAAATTTGAAGCTTTTATGTCTTGTTCCATTTAGCCTCAAAATTAATACAACAAACCTACTACCAAATTGCAAGCATTTCATTCAGGAATGTGGAACAAGATATTTTCTGTACATCCTCCATCCCCTCCAACTAGTGCTTCAGTGTATGACTCATACAATCTTCAGGCAACTGAAGATGAACAGCCTTAGTATGATTTGCCCATTTCATTTGCAGCTTCAAAAGCTTCAGAGTTTTAGTCAGCAGTCACTGAAACCAAGAATTCAGTTGGCTTCTTCTGTTGGCTGGCAGAGGGGGGAATGTCCTCAGAAAGTGCAGAATGCGCTTGGAGTCCTTTGTGCTGCTCAGATGAGAGCACACACCTGATGTTGGAAAATATATCTTTTAGGAGTGGAAGATTTTAGCTGGGGTTTGCTTACCATTTTGAAAAGAACTTGTGAACTAGATACACCTCTGGCAAGACAGCTGATGTGATCAAACCAAAATGTGTAATTACCGTCTGTAATATAGGTCCTATATCCTTGAGTGAATAGTGTTGGAAAAGGAGGCTTGTGATAAGAGTGGAGAAATATTAAATCTGGTACTTTGAAATCAGAAGTTCTCATACTGTTATGCTCTTGTCCATGCTGTGTGTTAGATAACTGGCAAAACAGCTGCACATGCTGTGAATTGCTGCATCTAGCTTCTCAGGTTCTGCAGGGGAGAAGATTTCTCTAGGGATATATCAGGATATTCCTAACAATTATTTTAGCCTGTGCCATACTCTGAAAACTTTATATAAAAACAGTTTCAGTCCAAGAAGAATATTTTCACATGCGTAGGGCCATGTGTTGACCTCACACCCCACATCACCCTCTCTGCTGGCGCTAATATCTTTGCACTTGGGGAGCTAACTGCCCTTTTCCATGCACATAAGTTATGTGTATTTGTGGCTGGTTTTACACAGAAAGCTGTAACTAATGCACTCCACATATCAGAAAAGGGTGTATGTAAATATATTCTGATGTCAGATACCATATCAGCAGATTCCTGGCATTTGGCTAGTCATCGCAGTGACTAGCGGGAATGCTATTTTATTTGTTGCTATTATTACATTAATATCAACAGAGAGAACTGATAACATAGGACTTCACCCTTCAAAACCCAGGAAGTGTGCAAAATGAAGCAAATAAGATTTTACATATGTTTAATTTGTGTGTACAGGGCAAACCAAACCACAACAGAATGAAAGTCAGGATGCACTTGGGGGCTGCCCTGCTGAGAGCTCAGCTATTTTTTGTCTTAGAAACATTACTAAGCATCATCACTGAAGCTCAACTGCAGCAAATTAGACCAAGGAAAAGTGCTTGAGAGGGAAAAGGGGGATTCCATGGGATACGAGGCATTCTGCTGAATGGAAGGTTTAAAGCCCATCCCAAAACCAATTTTTTTACTCAGTGTTTCAGGTCAATACATTTTTTTTTTCCTTTCAGCAACCTTAACCAAGAGTTCCTGTAATGATCATGTTGTCAGTCACTGCTTATTTGAGGAAAAGCAGTACTGACAAACCAATAAATGAGAAAGCTCTGTTTTCTACAAGGTGGATCTTCGTTATGGGGAACACAGTTTGACTTCCATGCTTTGTTCCTTGTATCTGTCTATGCCCAAACAACATAGGCTTGGGCATTAAATGCAGCAATATCACAGTTTGACTTGTGGTGGCATTAGCATTCAGTTTGCCACAATGACACATGGGAGTAAGTTATGACAATGAAAGAGCTGCCACTGAAATTAAGGTCCTTGATATGAGCATCAACCTAGCTACTAACAACTTCTAAGAATTGTATTAACATTTAGTAAATGCTTGGATGAGTCCAACTGCTTTGACTATGTTTTAACTCAGTGCTTTGCAAGTTACCTTTAGCTGTTCCCATTGGAGAGATTTGTCAATCATCCAGGGACAGCACCAATCCTAAGTAGCCTCTGAAATCCAGCTGAGTGTAGCTGCTGTTCCTCTCTAGTTTAGTAAATACAATACGTAGGCACAAGTGTGAAATGCACCTTGAGGAAGATTGCTCATTGGTAATATCAGTTACAAAAACAAAATAAAAACACACCAGAAAATAGCAGCAGCATAAACTTCAGAAATACAATGAGATATCTGTGTGAGTAAGGGTATGTTCAGGACAAAGGATAGTATTTAGCTGCTGCAGTCAAAATGCATGGACAGAAATACACTGCTTTCTTTTCATATCATGTAAAATGACTTAATCAGTAAACAGAAACCACCCTCAAACAAAGCTTTCCTGAATGCATTAGGAAAAATAACATCATGCACTGCCCTTAAGGAATTAACAGAAGTATTTAGGAGTGTTGGTTTTATTTTAACAACTCTTTCCACAATTTTCCTTATGGTACAAATTTCTCTAATTTAAAAACAGTTTTAAACATACCTTAAGGTCTGATAAAGAAGGATGGAGAGGAAACTAAATATATTACAAATAAAGATGTAGGTACCTTTAGCACCTTTGTGTATACTGGAGTAAATTTGGAAGAAAGCTGACAATGTTTTTGATTTTGTTTACACAACAAAGATTTTTCTGCCAGTAATTACACTGGCAAGAAAATTGGCATTAGTTTGCAGAATGTTGTTCTTAATTTGATTAGGATTATGATGCTCTGTCAACAAGAGCCTTAGCCTATTCATTTTCATCTCTTAATGTTCACCAATGGCAAATTCTCCTTTAAGATGAAGAAAAGACAGTATCAGCTGACAATCAAACTCTTGCTGCTTATTGAGAAGCACTCATGATCTGCAGTCTTGTCTGGGGAAACAGATGGCTCAGGGTGTTACGTGCAATGAGTTACTCAGATCCACTGCACTGGGGACAGCAGAATGCTTTACTGCCATCAGGTTTCAGCACAACAGTCCTTCTCACCAATCTTAAAATAAAAGACAAATTTTCTTCTAGCAAAGCAAAAAGGTTACATTCTTCTTTATAAAACTGAAAAGGTAATTGTAAAAGAGAAGTTTAGAAGGATTCTACTGCAAACTTCAAGTATATCTGGCACCAGTTGTTAGAATAAATTTTCATACTTGTCAGCTTTCTTCAGCTGAATGCTTTCTTGCATTTAAATCTTCTTCAAGGTGCTGTTTTATTGTGGGGAATAAGCTCTAAACTGAGTCCAGAATCAGCAATGATGCTCTGGTTTGCTTATACTTGAAGAATTCATTACATACTTCATGAATTTAATCTTAGAATCATTAAGATGAAATGAATCTTCATTTATTTTACTCAGCTTCTTTCTTGCTAATTAATCTTACTGAAGCATGTTAAATTAGTTTGGAGGCTCAGGGGAATTGTGTGTTTTCAGTTATTCTGACTCTGAAGTGGACTGATTCTGCTCTGTTGATTTGCTCACTAGGCTCTCACCCCTTTTCAAACCGTTAATTGGATGACCGCTCTATTGGATTTCTCCATCACTAGATTGCCTTCTATTGCTTTGTTCTTCATGACTGTCCTACAGCTTTCATGTTTGTTCAACCAATGAATGTGCAGATGCTATAATTATGAGATGCACCAGAGAGCTTAGCTGCACAGCTATTACACCAAAGCAGAAAAGGTAGGATGCTTACTCATATCCTGGGCTCACTTATGAAATTCCAGCACAGTGGATCTTCAGAAGAGATCCCTCCCCTCAGTAGTAAGCCCTTAAAGGGTCTAGGAGAGGTGCAGCCAGGCTCCACCCCTTCCAGCAGCACAGGAGAATTGCCTTCACCTGTGCTCCCAGGGCTGACTCATTGCTCACCTCAGGTGCTCAGTCAGAGGTTCAGGCTGTGATTCAGCAGTCCCCCTGTGCTGTCACATAGGCAGGTTTTTTTTGTGTTGTTTCTTTTTTTTTACAGTACTTTTGAATTAAAATACAACATGGGGTTTACCTGGTTTAAACATCTAAGCCATATTGAATGTAAAGGTGACTGACCTGTAAAAGTTTTGAATTGTGTTGGTTTACCCAGCAATATTTTTTGAGATCTAAGCTTCTAAGTCTGCTAATGTGCAACAATACTTAATGTGCCTGCTGTGGGAAACAACTCAGAGGGGTAGAGATCTAGCAAGGGTTTTGATATGAAGTGCAGTTGTCTGTAAAAGTTCTGCTTCCTCTTTTCTGTGCATGCAAAAGAGGAGATGCAGTTGATATGCTGTGTAACCAACAGAAATGGACAACGTTAAAAATGCAGAAATATTTACATAACCTTACTTTGGAGAACAGCAGAAAGACTTATTTCCTCCTAAACCGTACAGACAATTAAATGTTGCAGAAGCAAAAGTACTTTGAGTTTGGATTGTTAAAGATTTCCTTTCATTATGCTCTTAATACCTGCGTTGCAGGGAAATTTTATTATTACTTAGCATTATGCAGCCTCTACATAAAAGCCCGTTCTTCTTATTTCCTGGCATAGCAGTCAAGGGACAAGCATCTTGTGTGAGATTCTCCAGCTTGAAGATTGCATGTTTGAAAACCTGTTTTGAGGTTGTTAACTGAGTATGCAGTAGGCAATTGCTGGCTCTTCACTCAGAAATAAATTCAATCCATAAAAGGTGGGTGATATTCTCTGCTTTGTTTACTTCTTTTCTTTTGTTATATGTCTTGTGGTATCTACCAGATCTCAGGTGCTCGTGCTTCTTCTGCCTTTTGAAATTTCTGTGAAATTGCTCAATTTTATCTTGAATTTCAACATAGAAGAAAGAAAGAATTGGTATGGCAATTTTGTTTCTCAACAAATTCTAATTCAATACCATTCTTTAATACTGTTGGATGGGTTACTGCTGATCTTAATATTTTTCCATCAGACAAATCTGCTTTATTCTTTATGTTTGGCACACTTTGGGGTTATACTGTGTGGGCTGTCCTTTTTTGCAGTGTATAGAAAAGTATACACTGTAAATTTAAACTCGTACTAGCAAAGCATGGACCAGAGGATGTTTTCCTTTTTTTTTTTCTCTCTTCAGAAAAATATCTTGCTTTTTTCCTTACTCAGCAGCTCCCCAAAGTTTCTTTGATTCAAGAAGTTTTTTGCCAGCCTGGACTCTGACAAACAAGATCAGCTACTCTTTGAAGAAATCTGGGTCCTCGTCTTGGTTCTTCTTCTAAGTTATATTGTACTTTGGCCAACAAGTTCAGCTTCATTTAAGATCTCTGTGGTCAGATACCCTAGCACAGCTTTCTAAAGACTGAATTCAGCTTCTCAATCGAATTTTACGTGGATTTTGTAGAGGTAGCTTTACACTTTAATGATTCATTATTTTAGTGCTCCTGGTGAAGTTAATTACATATCTTTTTGCTTTAGTTTTCTGAAAGAAAATTTGATGAAGCTTTGCAGGAGATTCAAAAGGGAAGGAATGACTTTTGATATCAGGCAAACAAGTTATTAGCAACCAACCTAGAACTAAAAATAAAAGAATGAACATTTAGTTTTTATTAATAAAATATTACCTGATTGCCTAGGGGAATAATTTAAAAACCTTTCTTTTTTTCCTAAATAAAACTATTGGAGGAAAAAAAAAACAAGACACTTTCCCTCCTGAAAGAGTTTCAGTCATTTGTACTTCTGGGTGTCTGCCTATTGCATCTGTGTTTTCTGTATCATCCTGTCTTGACACAAGAGTAATGCCCAGCGCATATTTTTTCATAATATGACTGATGCCTTTCCATCTCTGTAGATTGCTGATAGGCTTGGCCATTTATTCATTCCACTGGACCGTTTTCCACAGCCACAAAAATTTTCCTCCCTGGTCTGTTTAATCTTCAGAATTAGAATCATTGTCTCTCATCCTAGATGAGAGCCCCTAAAGAGACTCTGTTTAGTTGTCAACTATGGGATAGTTTGAAAAATAGAGGAAATTTCTTAGGACACTATGAAATCTTGGAATCTTTTGAAGGAATCTTTGTAGGGAGTCTTCAGGTATGCTGTAGCTTTCCTGTTAGTATGCTTTCAGATACACTGGCATTACCATATTCACATAAATTACGGTAAAATTCCTCAAGCTTCTTGGCTTACTGAAAAAAAAGACACTTATGTCTTTGTGTTTCACTGGGGTGTTTCTCTGAGGGTTTGCATGGCCATATCTTAGCTCTCTGCGATGTGAAGAATATCCTTTTGCTCTTTTGAGTAAAGACGTTTCTTTTGCACTGGTTCCTGTGGGAGTCAATGGGACTTTTGAAGGTTTGCCCCAAGTGTGTCTGGACACAGAGCACAGGGAAAAAGCACATGCGAGGCTTGCTGTGTTCTCCTTTACTCCCAAATATATTACAAAATCAAAGAATCCTTAGAGTTGGAGGGGACTTTTAAAGGTCATGTAAAGGTCTCCAAATTGATATCTATTTGTATAATTTCTGAAGATAATTAAGAAATTCTTTAACATCTCTGTATTTTTCAGACATACCACCAATAGTTCTCCTGCCATTATATAAAAATTTGTCTCTACTTAACTCAGAAAAGCAAAAACTGGAATTTTTGATAATTTTTTTGGTAATGTCTTAGAGAAAATATGCAAAAATATTTTTAATTATGTAGTTTTTGTATTTTATTTTAGTTGAATTTACTGTTTATTACAATTCAAAAAATTCAGGAAAATCTGTGTATTTTCTTCTCATAGGTTGGACTCCTTACTGAGGCATATTGAACAGAAAACATACATGCTTTTGCGTTTCTCTGAAGAACCAAGAAAATTCTGAGACACATAATGGGATCTCTTACAAGTATCTATGTCTTTGCTTGTGTGTTTTTATCCATATTTTGGAATAATATCCAGTCAACTGTGGAAAATAAAATCACTGCAAACTATTCAGGACATCTACTAACTAAAGTTCCAAAAAACATTCCAGTCCATACTCATGTATTAGATTTATCACATAATAGGATCTCTGAAATTACTAACTTGGAATTTATTTCTCTTCCTGAACTTCAAGTATTAAATCTTTCTCATAATCTAATTACAGAGCTTGACTTCAGTGTCTTCATATTTAACCAAGATTTAGAATACTTAGATTTATCTCACAATAACATTTGGACAGCTTACTGTCAAATGCTCGCACATCTTAGACATTTAGATCTTTCTTTCAACAAGTTCACTGTCTTGCCAATCTGTCAGGAATTTGAGATCATGTTTCATTTGGAATACCTAGGATTAAGTGCCACGATGATACGAAAGTCAGACTTCAGATACGTGACACATTTGCAGCTGAACACTGTCTTCCTAACCTTAGAAGACTTTTCTCTGTATGAGCCTCTAAGTTTAACAGCTTTAAATACAAGGAACCTTCACATTGTTTTTGCAGCAGACCAAAACTTCAACTTTTCCCTCTTATATGATGGAATGAGCACTTCAGAGAAGTTAAAAATATTTAATTTAAGATACACCTTGAGCCACAAAGATTTTCCCTCCCCTTCTTTAGAGCTTCTGAAGAACATCAAAGCAACAGAGCTAAAGCTTGACACTGTGGACTTAGAATGGAAGGTCATTCTGCAAATCTTTCTGCTAGTTTGGGATTCAACTGTGGAGCACTTAACTGTGAGAAATTTGATTTTTCGGGGACCAGTGGTAGAGCTCACTGAATATAAATTTGTATCCTATTTAAGACCTCTGGAACAATTTCTCTCTTTGGGTGGCTCCATGAAAGCACTAACTTTGGAGCGTGTTCGAAATAAGTTGTACTATTTCAACCAGGAGATTGTGTACAGATTGTTTTCAGAGTTGAATATTGATAATTTGACAATACATGATGCATGTATGCCACACATGCTTTGCCCCCAAAAAACAAGCTCATTTCAGTATATAAATTTTTCCCGCAATGCCCTGACAGATGAATTGTTCCAGAATTGTGACACTCTGACAAATTTAAAATTACTTATTTTGAATAGGAATAAATTTAAGAGCCTTTCCAAGGTGAGCTTCATGACCAGCCGTATGAAATCACTG